TCGAATAAATAATTCAGAACATTTTGAATAAAAAAAACAAAGAGCAAAGAGTAAAATGGAATGGAATGAAAGAAAGAAAGATTGATGGAAAATTGATCGAGCCCTTGGCTTGTAGGGAAGGTAAGTGGCAATACGTATGCAGTTTCGCAAGACATAAAATTTCAGGTCAAGATATCGCGCATGTAAAACATCCATCGATCCAGTTGCGAGAAATTATCCTGAAACTTTTCCATGTTTGTGGAACGCGCTTTTCGACCGTTCGATACTGTAACACTATCACTGAAAGAGCGACGAAAATATTATTCGTTGGACGATATTTGTGCGAATGCACGAGGAAAAAGAGACGGAAAAATATACGAATTTCGAATCTCGTGATTAAACGAGAAGAGTTGAGGAAGGAGATAAGAAAGGAGATAAGATGAGAAAGTAAAAGTTCTTGGAAAGATTGGCCTGTTGATAAAAAGGGAAATGGAAAACAAGTTTCGAAAATTCTTTTGAGGAAACACGCTTAAAAGGAATAATTTATTTGACTTTTACTTTTTCGTCAGTTTTCATTCCATTTTATATTATACGTTTATTTCCTTTTTTTCTTTTTTTTTTTTTGTCAAATGAACGATAGAACGTAGTGCATACAAGGTTCGTCTATCTTTAGAAATTTCTGGCACAAAGTTGTTCACGGTTTAACCTTTTTTACCTGACTGAGGACCGAAGGAAAATTCCATTGTTTAGATTTCTGTGAAAGGAAAAAGATCCGAGGCAAGATTCTTTTTTCTCCCACGTGAACAAACTTGAGAGTTATTTTGAAACGAGAGATAAATTTCGTTTCAGATAAATTTCTTTAGATTTTTCAAATCCTGGTACGCGATAAAACATTTTGGAAAATTGCGGTAAATAAATTTTTAGATTTAACACGCCGTATATAACAATATAATAATATGATATAAATATATATCCGTGTAAGAAGTTTGAAATTTCAGAATTCGTTACACATAATAACGACAGTGTACTGTTATTGTTATGTATTGTATGGGATACATCGTGTATAGTATTCGTAGGGCATTATTATTTACGAGATATTCATTTGCAATCTCTTGTGAATCATATCTAT